AGAGAGAGAGAGAGAGAGAGAGAGAGAGAGAGAGAGAGAGAGAGAGAGAGAGAGAGAGAGAGAGAGAGAATGCATGTACCATATCATGAAGTGAAAGGGTACATTGGAACCCCTGAAAGACCGACACAAATGCCCTTGGTGTAGGCTCGTGGGGCATAAATGTCTAGTCAAGTTCCCTGCAGAGTGCTCAAGAGTGTACTCAAAGAAAGAACAGGTACACAACTCATTAACTCTGCAACAAGACAATCTGCCACTGCTCTCTGCTGAAATCTTGATGTCACATTCCACTGCGAAACCCATCGATATGTTTCTCGGAAAGGGACTCCAAAAAGAAGATAACAGCGGAGTAAACTCCTCATGCAATAACGTAGAATGACTTTCTGTTCTGGTCGCTCAACTTCGCGTTGATGAGACACTCTTGCCTGCTAAACACGGCGAACTTTTCACTGTCCCGCGCAATCGATAGACTTCTTACCAAGCCCCTCAAATTCCCTCAAGCCCACATAATACCACCAGACAGCTAGGAACACCCAAGTGAAAACTCTTTTACGTGTTCCCCCCTCCATGTTGGACAGAGTCTGAGAAAGCCTAAGCCAAATATAACCAAGGGTTGCAGCATCGGCTGACGAGCACGAAACCATCAGTAAATCACCCAGGCAAAATCGATCGAATCCGAAAACTTCGGGAGCTCAGGGCTACTAGACCAGAGCGGCTGGCGGCGGCATTCGAAAAAGAGAAGTGTGCCACTGACACGTTCGACAAAGCTTCATCTGGTACGAATCCGCCGCGGCAAAATGAGGCTCAGATATGCAGGGATCCAAGCCTTTAACACATTTAAGCAACCCCCTGGTTTCCAACTATCCACCTTCGTGCGGTGTAAATCCACCACGGTGAAATGAGGCTCAGATATACAGGTCTTCTGAGTGAGCCAGCACACATACGTTCACAAGCTAGTGGATCGACGAAGCAGTCGAGACTGCAGATGCCAATGTTTTCACAGTCTTCCTCCAAGTCAAAGGATGCATACACAAACTTCTCCTCCTGATGAAGGAGCCATCGAGCTCAGATTAAGTCTTTCTAACTACCATCCACCCCTGAATAAATCACACGGTCCTTGATACAGCGGAATCGACCCTGCGGTATTTGGGGAAATTTTCAGTCCAGATACAGAGGAATCAACCCTGTGGTTCATTCCGGGGAAGACGGTAGTGAGCTGTCAGCACGGAACACCTGATGTACACAAACATGTGTGTGAAGCGATCTGTTGACGGATACATGCTTAAAGGAACATGCAACTGGACTAGACTTGTTGTGCAGCCGTGTGAGTGTGTATGTGGATATGCTTAAAGCCTTAAACCAAATTAAACCGGACGAAACTTGCCATGCACCTGCGTGCATGTGCATGTTTATGTGCATGTTTATGTGGATGAGCATGTATGGCGGGAGGAGGGAAGACGACAGATGGAATAAATCTCAAAGCAGGGAAATGTCCCAAAGACTGAAATAGAAGCAAAGAATGCAACAGAAGTGGGAGACGGAAGAGATGAAGGGTGCAGTAGATGAAACATTGGCTTCGGTGCGCTGACCAGTTTCGCTCACATCACCAATCCTGCTGCTTCAATCTCCCTGCTGATCGCCTGACGCAACTTCATCCTTGACGACACTGACATCTTTCGGGAAGAATACCCTGCACACATCGATGCCGCTCCGCTCGTGTTAGAGCACCAGGATGGCATTTTACCGTTGGTCAAGTCCGTCAACTCTTGCGCAGGATGTTCGTCAAAATACAAAGGAAGTTAAGAAACAACTCTGAAAAAAAGTACTGCGGTGGTTTTATGGGCGGACGCCGGACAAAGAAAAGATTCTTGCAGCGGTGACTGCAACACACACACTGTTGTACCAATGCGCCTAGCTCAGTTCGGACACCCACAAACTGTTGAAGTACGATTCAGACCCAAGTTCGAATCCAGATGCGATCAGATGAGCAAAATGTGTAGTTCTGAATTACCTGCGGTACCCGAGGCCTATCAGGTTACTTATGATACCTCAAGACTGTCCTCCTCCTTAAAAAAAAGAAGAGGAAACAGCACAGAGAGATTGCAAAAAAATATAAAAAGAGGAGGAAGAGCGACAGAGAAGAAGGAAAAATAGAAACACTGTTGTTTGTTTACACCCTGGTGAAAACCTCACTGGAGGAACTGTGTTTAGAGAAACCACGAGAACCCCACCATCCCCCCTCCCCCCAAAAAACAAAAGAACCTGCACAGTGGACGGGGGGGGGAGGGAGGCATTTATGGCTTGGCTGATCTTATTGATTCTTACAAGAACTTAAAGAAGGAAAAAAGAAACCTAACAGCACTCCCAACGTCCAAACTTCTCCAAAGATGAAAAACTATCTTGACTCTGTCATCGAGTCAACAGACCCAGTTGCATAAATTGACGACACATTGATTGCCGCAGTGTTGATTGAGAAAACACAAGGATTAAAAAAAAAAAGAAAAAAAAAAGAGGAGGATTGCTCTGCAGACCACTGTCGATAGTGAAAAGGAACTTACTTGGTTGTCGTTCGATCGAGAATCGCTGACAACGCACTCAGATCCTTTAGCTGGCGGTGTCCGGCAACGACTTCCAGGACTTGTCTGATTAACAAACATGCAATGCAGGATTCTGTTACAATCCTGGTCATTCCCAAAGTGCAAATTCACAATGAAAGACAATGCCACCCGATTGCGAAAGAAATGAAAGCACTTGCAAAGAGATAGAGACAGAAGAAGAAGAAGAAGAAGAAGAAGAAGAAGAAGAAGAAGAAGAAGAAGAAGAAGAAGCGCCTATCAAGGCGATGAAGATGGTGTCCACCATAGCCAGGTAGGTACCTCGCCACACTCCTCCTTCGCCCCCTTCTTCCTCCTCCTCAGGCTGGGCTGCTCGCCAGAGCCAGGCTGAGCGCCCAAATCATGCTCACTTGGTGAAAATGGTAAACACGACAGACTTAAAATCTGTTCCTACGGGTTATAGGTTCAAGTCCGATAGTGAGCATACTCGCTTGGTGAAAATGGTAAACACGACAGACTAAAACACTTCGTCGGGTCGCGCAGCCTCCCAGCAACCGGAACCTCCTCCCTTTCGGAGGGAAACATCATTGCAGGCTCGGATATCGTCCGTACAGGCCCTCGACTCAGGCTACTTGGACTGGTACTGGCCTAACTCTAGCCTACCGCTACTGGGCCTCTAAAAACGCCAACTTTTTGTCTTCTTCTGCTGGGCCTCGAGTACCCGATACTTCTACCACTACTTGAGTGGTACCGGCCTACCTGCTACTTGAGTGTTTTTCCCGCTGCTCTAAGTGTTGCGGGCCTACCCCCGCTACTTGAGTGTTTTTTTCCGCCGCAACCCTCAAAGTCACGGCCAGGGGTAAGTACTGGCCCTGCGGGGCCTCCAAACCAACAAGTACCCTTGCGGGTCACACACACACTCAGGCCGACAAACACTCAGACAGGCAAGCAGACCAGCAGGCATGAACACACACAGACTCAGAAATCACAGCAGAATGCGGGAATCTCAGCAAGGCATACATTCCAGGCTTCCAGCAGAAAATCCCACAAAATCAGCAGTGTTCTCAGTCTGCGTTTCGGCGGGTCATTACAATTCCATCAAGCACTCATGCCAGGAAAAAAAAAAAAAAAAAGATGGAGAAATTTACAAAATTCAAAATTGAAAATTGAAAATTGAGCATGCATGGACATAGCCGTCATACACTGTGGCAGACAATAGGTCATGCATGACCCGTAAGAAAAAATAACGGCCTACTACTAGCGTCGTAGAGCATGAAAAGGGGCCTACTAGCGTCCTACAGCATGAAAAGGATTGCAATTCTGCGCAACACATCAAATCGAATGAATATGAGACAAACAAGTACCCTGCCAAAAGTATGAGAGCATACTCAAACTAGCACAATCTTAAATCTATCTGACTGTCATTACGGCCCTACCTGGACGTATCTGACCCCAATTACGTCTAGAGGTAAGTAAAAAAGTCCTAGACTCCCAGCGTGCGTGTGCCCTGAGGGTCTCACTATTGCTTAATTCGGCTGTTGCTGCAACACTGTAATTCAGTAGAAAACTCTCACCAACGTTACCCGCCCGCCCACCAGACACACACACACACACACACACACACACACAAGATAGGGGCTGTCTCTTATACACATCTAGATGTGTATAAGAGACAGTTCCCGTACAGCGAGGCCTGTCCAATTTCGCT